CCTTAACCATTGACCTTCCAAAGAGAGAAAGCTTCGCAAGTTCTTTAGAATGGGGGTAGGGTAGGGGACAGGAAGCCTGATTGGGTAGGCCTTTGGAGTACACCAAGTTTAGGATACTAAAATCTGTTTGCACACTATGTCTTGATCATTAAAATTCTGTAGAGGCTTGGCTAAAAAACACCTATAGGAGGTACATGGCATAAAGATTAAAAGCTCAGGCTTTGAAGTCAACAGAACTCTTCAAGTACGTAGCTTTCTGATGATGACTCAATTCAAGAGACAGTATAATTCAAATGATCTTTTATTGCAGCTAGTTACTTAACCTCAAACCCTGGTTTGCTCGTATGTAATAAATACCTACTACGTAGTACTGCTTTGAGGATGAAATAATATGTACTGTTTAACAGAGGAGCTGCTGAAGGGTCTTTTGAGTAGCAGTGATATATGATCAAACATGTTTTAAGAGAATAATCTGGGGGTAGTAGGCTGAATAGTGTAAATACTGGAGGCAGAAAAAAAAGCAAGACAAATTTGGATAGAGACAAGATTTGTAAGTAATTTTAACCAAAGGAGTATCTTGAAGATGGATGAGATCATCAATAACATGCACATACATATACGGAAGACTCAGACATCACCATGAAAAGTGCTATTTGGAAGCAGCAGAAGCAGAAAGGGAATGTTCAGAGGTAGGAGGAAAAAAACCCAGGAATTTCAGTGCCATGAGGAATAAAGAGAAAGTTAGGGTGTAGCAAAACCAGCACCCATTTTCCAAAATCTTATTTATAAATCTTATATTGGCTGCCATGAAATAATGCTTATCAACTTTGAGGCAATTGGCCGAGTTCTATTCGAATGAATTTTACTAGGTACATGGACTAATAATATAATAGTATTTTAAACTTGGAAAAGATCCGATCATCTTGTATACTATTCATACCTAATGCCAGGACTGCGACCAAAATCTTAAACAGGTGATTATAATTTTAAACACGGGCAATAAATTCTTTGCAAGTGGTCTCCATCCATTTTACTGTTGCCATTAACATTTTTAAAAAGCTGTTTCTTCAACTGATACTTTCCATAGCTGTTCATATTAGAAAACACTTATAATCCTCTCTCCCCATCATCTCTTCCCTTCTGCTCTGTGGTTCCAACTACACACAACATAGTTTTGAACAAATTCACTTTACTGGTGATTGAGTATCACTTAAAAACTAATGCCCAGAGCTGAATGCCATACTTCGAATATGGTGTGACCAATGCCAAGTATAGAACTATATGCAGTAGTCCCTCCTCATCCACAGGGAATGTTTGAAGATCCCCAGTGGATGGCTGAAATCAAGGATAGCACAGAACCCTAGATATGCTGTTTTTACCTATACGTACATTCCTAAGATAGCTTAATTTATAAGCTAGGGATGGTAAGAGGTTAATAAAACAATTACAATATACTGTAATAAAGGTTAGGTAAATGCATTCTCTCAATAACCAATCTAACCAAGATGGCTACTAGGTGACTAACAGGTGGGTAGTGTATATACAGTATGAATACGCTAGACAAGAGATGATTCACAACCCAGGTGGAATGGAGTGGGACGGTGTGAGATTTTATCATGCTACTCTGAGTGGAGCACAATTTAAAACTTATGAATTTCTGCAAAAATTTTTTTTTTTCCGACAGTGGGTATCCGAATCCGCGGGGTAAAGGGGCGGCAGAACTGTCTCTTCTCATTTTGAATATCATTCAGATAAAGGACACAAGGAAGCTCCTTCTCAGTTGTTTCAATGCTACCCCACAAAAATTAGTTGTGATTGTTAACTAAGTTTTAACTTCCCTCCTAACCCCCACAACATGCATTAAAAGGCAGGCCTCCTGCTTTTACCTGCATTATATTGCATGCTAAGTTGCACTGAAATACAGCCTGCACTTTTTAAACAGCTCATAGCAAAGTCTGAGGTGAATTACGACACCCTGGACTTTTTCTCATCAGGAACCTGTCAGATTGCATTCTTCTGTATATCTTTAATACAAGGCCCACATTGATCCAAGCCACAGGTAGTTTTCCCTTTCTGAACTCTTTAATATTTTGAGTGATCAACCAGTTCAATTTAATTGACTTTTCATACTCTCATTAAACAGACTAAGAAAGCATTTCACATTAGCTTAGTTACTAATTAGTCCTTTCCAAACTGAAGACTGGTTATTTCTTGTCTTACTTGGGATATTAGAATAGGATGGATATAGTAGCTTTGTACTTAATATGGAACGAGTTTAAGTATTGTTCAAAAATATTATTCAGGCACTTAGTTATATAATTGTTTCCTTTTTTTCAGATTTTATTTTATATCTAATATTATTACACTAAGCAAGATAAAGACAACCTGTCCACAGTTAATCAAAATTGCTTGGGAAATGGGGATATTATGATTTGCTGAATATCCCAGTTAACTATTGCTACATATAGATAGCATGGCTGTTAATACTTTTAATATTAAATTAAAAATATAATTTGGCTTTAGACTATACATTATGACCACTGCTATAAAGTATGTTTATTAAAGCATGATCCGTGTACCACCTGCATCAGAAACACCTGTGATTAAAGAAAAACCTAATTTGAAATGACTGTACAGAGCTTGTTAAAAATACAATTTCCCTATGTATACTGATACAGAACAATCTCCAAGACCCCAAGACATAATAAATGGAAAAAAAGCAAGGCACGTAACAACATGTAGAGTACGCATTCATTTGCATAAAGAGCATAGGGGTGCACACATTCATGCTAATATGTGCACAGACCATGTACGGAAAGGTATACAAATAGGCAGAATTGACTGCCTCTGGGAAAGGGCAAGGGGAGGCAGGAGACATTTTTATAACATGGTCTGAACCATCCACGCAAATAAACACCTAAGAGAAACCCAACTTAAAATGCAGACTCTTAAGCTTATTCTGGCCCTCCTCAGTCAGAATCTCTGTAATTAGGGAGGGCTTAGAAATCTTGACTTTTAGAATGTTCCCCAGATGATTCTCATGGACAAATTTGCTATGAACATTATCTTTCGATGACACTAATTTCCCCTTTATTGGGAAAAAAATTTTTAAATTAGCTATCAAATTCAGTATAAAAAATGGTAGCTGTTTACAACTTCAATTCATATCAACACAACAGCAACATAATAGCATGACCATGCAAAAGTTTATGCTTTTTATCAATAAGAAAATGATTTAAAATGCTGTAAAAAAATCAGATGTTTTGCTATGCTGTATATCCAACTTTGCATTCTTAATTCTAACTTAATTCATTTCCCGTTTAGAAAAAAAAAATAAAGTACAGCTTGCTGCTAGTGTTATTTTACATAAATATGTTCTTTGAGGCTAAAGCAAATGATTAGTTTTCAATGTGAAAATAAAATATAAAAACTGTTCTTAGAGTTATTTCTAAACAGAATGTGTCTCTAATGTATACATAAATCGGATTCACCAAATGAATCTTTGGCTAACAACTGTTCAAGAATGAAGTTAACATGGATAGGACTGCTACGTTTTCTAGGATTTAACATTTTCAGTAATTGAGAATTATTATATTTTGAAAATAGAAATAACACTACTAAAAACAGAATGCTATAAATAGAATGATGTCATTTTCCAAAGACTATTGATATGAAGAGCAACGTGAAAATAATAACAAAAGCGAGATTATTTCATAGCAAATTTTGGGAGTAAGGTTAGGACTGTAATCTGTGAGTTATCTTGTGTAAACTCTGTAGCCACAAGTGCCAATGGTGAGTATTCTTGGGGCAAACGGGAAATGGGTTAAAGGAAAAAAAAAAAAAAACACAAAAAAACAATGGTAATGAAGACAGACAAAATTCTAATTTGGACTGTATTATATAATTGGGGGTGGGACAGATAAATCAATTTGTTTTATTAGAATAGGTTATCATGAAATTACTGGAACATAAGCATGCACTAATAACAGAGAAAGCCAGCCTGAGATACAGAGAATAACAGGTAAGTAAATTAGTTGTCAAAATAATTGGTTGAAGAATGCAATAGCAAGGTGATAACCAATGCTGCTTTTGACTAGAGTTTAGTTTTCTTTAAAAATTGTGAAAGAAGATACTTAAGAATGTTTCATGTTATTTCATACAAGATGGTTAATGTGGGCCTGCTACAGCTATGAAAACAAGCCATGCAAAAATAATGAAATTATTTTAGTAAAAAATTTAAACGGCATCAATTGTATATCTGGAGGAAGATACCTAAACCAAATGCAAAATTTTTAAACATGAGACAAAAATATTTTTAGAACATAACTGCAAGATGAAGGGAGCAGCCTGGCAAAGTGCTGAGCATAATCTTTGAAACTGCTCAATTTCCACTCTGGCACTTAATGTGTGATCCTTACAGTTAGCCACTCTGAGATTTGGTTTCCCCATCTGAAAAATAAGAAATACAGCACCTTCACTTACTGTTATATTTTAAACAGGAAAATGTGTGAAAAGACCAAGCAGGCATGGTGTCTGTCATTAGTGTGTAATAAATTTCAATTCTTTTCTTCTCTCCTGAGAGAACTGTGAAAAACAAAGCTGCAAAAATGTACTGGGTGACTAATTATTCAAAAGAGCAAAATGAGACCCAGAAAGATGAAAATTAAAAGAAAAAAAAAGGTTTGCCCAAGTTACATAGATAGCATGTGACAAACTTGGAAGAGAAGCTCAGCCTCCTATTCTAGTTCCCCAATGGTTGTCTCCTACAGTCTTCTGGTCCCCTAAGAGACTGGGGGAAGATTATGACTCAAGAAAGAAATTGAACCAGTATGGTACTGAAACATAAAATTTTCTGGAAATTATGAGCTCGGGCAATAAACAGCTGTCAGGAATAACAAGATCTAAGTACCCAATACATTCGAACATGGTTTTACTGAAGCGAAGTCATTTCAAAGCAAAAATAGTTTATGATGTCAATTCTAACATATAATACATTTAAGTCATTACATGAATTTAAGTTTTTATTTGTGTATTTCACTGTAGTGCTGTGACAACAAAATGACATCTGTGTACCAGAGCATACATACATCAACAGTAAGATGTAACTTTTCATTACACCGCTGCTAGAATATTTAGCTTTTTGTAGGACACATAAGCATGTAAGATGGCCACACCAAATAATTGTTTTTTTTCCCCTTAGATAATCTTAATTTTTTATCAGTAATACTTTATCAATCTCACTGTTAATAGAACTGTAAATTATCTGGGTGATGGGGTGTGGGGCGGAGGGGGAAGGACTCATTCAACTGTGTTATACTGTAATAATTGCTAGAGTAATCTCACACACACCAATAAAGACTGTCATCATAATTAAGGGCTAGTTACTGTTGTTAGTTGCACAATGATAAAGTTCTTTTCAAAATATTGGTTAGCCCACTTATAGTATGAAAAATGCCCTTTCCACTTATGCAGAAGAAAAAAATATTCAGAAAGTTATTTTTGGCCTTGCTATGTCAAAAAGTCAACTGTACAAAGATCTACGTGTCAAACCTAAAATTATAATTTTAAAAGTCTATTAAAAACAAAAATGTCATGCATTTTATTAATTATGTAGAGGCTTTAAAACTGTTGCAAGACCATATAGTATATATTAGCTTTTATACTGCTAATGCACAACTAACAGCAAACTTGATTAGATTAACAGAAATCTGTCTTAATTACACTTTTATATATCACACTAGAGAGACAAATGCCACAAGATCTGCAGAAACATTCAGTTCTGAGCACTTAAATGGCAGGATAACTTTTTGTGTTGAAATCCATCACATAGAATAACAAAATGAAAGAAAAAAAAATCTGCAGTCTCACGTTACAAAAAAACGTACTGCTGTAAAATATTAAGGGGCAAAGGATATCATCTATAACACAAAGTAACAACTAGTGTCAAAAAACAAACCAAACCTCTAAATAAAAATCTCAAAATACACATAGCAACTGAAGCACAAATACTGCATTAAATACAGTAAAGATTTAATAAGACTAGTTAATAAAAGACACAAAAAATAGGGGGAACTAGGGCAACCAGTAAATAAAAGCAAAATAATGGGGAAAAAAATCTGAACCATTGTTTTCCCCCTAGTTGGAGCACAGTTTTTGGGGGATAGGGGGTGAGGGGGGTGGGAAGGGTGGTATCTTTCCATTCATATAATACCTAACACTGTACATTAAGATTTTAATGTCATAGAAAAACTTGGTTCTTCCATGAAATTCTTTAAATTCTTGATAAATGTTTTCAAAGTAGACATTATTATGAATGAAAAAGCCAACAAATGGGCACCTGTTGTTTTAACACTGCAGATTTACAGAAACTTTTTAAAAGTTATCATAATCTTTTTTGTCTTTTTTCCCTTCAGCTTCAAATCCATCAACTCCATCGCTATCCCTTCTTCGTTTCCTGTTGTTGTGGATGTTAAAACGTTGGCTCATTTGGGGTAATGGATCCATGCCTAGAACTTTGTGTATCTGGCGGAATGCAAGGAGTCTCAATGCAAACTGCAACAAAAAAAGTAAAAATTTAGAGTTAATTTGAAGAATCAAAGTAACAATTCTTATTAGGTTTATTATACGTCCTACATGTAAAAAATGTTTAATAAAAGAAATATATTGAATAATATTAGTTTCTCAACTGAAATGCCCTATATGTTCTGTTATTTTCAGGCTTTTCTGTGTATATGCCATTTTGTTTTTAAAACATAACTAAGCTAAAAAATAAATCTTAAAATGTGGTTTTGTGTTCATTAAAAAAAAAAAAATCCTGAAAGAATATATAGCAAAAAAAAGTGTCTCACTCATTGAGTGAACCCTTCTTTGAGTCAGTCACATATTTTCCTACTTTTTCTGTGGATGCCCATGTGTGCAGGCTCAGCATGGGACACACACACACACACACACACACACACTTCAACTTGTTACTTCATGAACTAAGAAAAGATTTCACTAAATGGCTATGTATACACAGGAATACATTAGGCATCGATGTCGTTAAGATTTCATGAGATCTTGAAACTAGAGACTTCAGAGATGTATTTCATCTATTTCTCAAATTTATGGGAATATATACCCCTCACACTAATTCAAGGAGATTTTATCATCATCTGGTTAAATGGCATCCTTTAACTATATGTAACGGTTTAGACTATTTTGAAATATAATTCACGCATCACAAGATTCGCTCACCCCGACAACCACTACTCTGTAGATCTGCCTACTATGGATGTTTCATATAAATGGGATCATGTGGTTTTTTGTGTCTGGCTTCTTTCACGCAGCCTAAGAGTTTCAAGGTTCATCCACAGTGTAGCATGTATCAATACTTATTCCTTTTAATGGCTAAATAATATTCTACTCTGTGGATATACCGTATTTGTCCATCCATTCATCAACCGATAAGCATTTGGAATCTTTCCACTTCTTGGTAACTATGCATAATGCTGCTTTGAACATTTGTGTGTAAGTTTTTGTGAGGATGGGTTTTTAGTTCTCTTTGGTATATAACTAAGAGTCAAATGTTTGGTATATAACTAAGAGTCAAACTGTTTTCCAAAGTGGCTGCTGTTTAGGCTATTTTTAACCCCTCTTTATTTTCTTCAGCTGCGATATTTTTAACCTCTATATTTCTGGGGGTGGGGGGTGGGGGGGGTGGAGCCATCGGAGTTTTACATTAATTTTTTCATTCATTCATTAAGTTCACATTTTTTCCTTTTCCATAATTCTTCTTCCAGTAGAACTGACAACTGATAACGCTGATAAGAGCTAACATAAAGCTAGACAATGTAGAAGAGTGATAAAAAAAATGAAATATGGCATTGGAGGAGAGCTCTACGGATACCATGAACCACCAGAAAGACCAAGTAAGTGGGTCCTAGAGAAAATTAAGCCGGAAACATCACTGGAAGCAAAAAATGACAAAACTGAAGCTTTCTTACTCTGGACACATCATGAGAAGGCAGGGTTCTTTGGAAAAGACAGTAAAACTGAAAAAAGTAGAAGGCAGCAGGAAAAGAGAAAGACCAAGTAGGAGATGACTGACTCCATAAAAGGAGCCATAGCTATGAGTTTACAGGGGCTGAGCAAGGCTGCTGAGGACAGGACATAGTGGACATTGCTCATTCACAGTTGCCAGGAGTCAGAGCTGAGTCAATGGCATGCAACACATGTTATAGTTACACGTGTTAACTCATTTAATCCTCCCAACAATCCTGCTTGAGAAAGATACTGCTGTTTTCTCCATTGTATAGATGAGATAGCAGAACTGGTATTCAAACCAAGAGAGTCTTTACTCTAGAGCTCACACTTTTAATTACTACATTAGATGACCTTTCCAGTGGCAGGAGAGGCTAAATTATAACAATAATTACATAAACCATTCAGCACATCACCTCTGTACAACCAAAGGAAGTAAACAGTTTTGCTACCGATCTTGATATATAATTTAATACTCAGATTTAATGAGACAACGATAACACAGCTGCACTTTTACATTTATATAATACACTTAGATACGCATACAGTTAAAATAAAATTTAAGTTTATATTAGTGAAATGTAGTTTAAATTATAATCCCCTCTAAGGGCTTACTTACTAAAGCAGCAGTAGAATGAATACTATATAGTATTTCTTCTAAAGACAATTATAAAAACAAAACCTTAAGGGCAGTGACCTAAGAAAGTTTTGGGAATAGGAACACACAGGCACCTGTGCACTGGATGTGATGTCTTCACGCTGCTGGTCAGTCATTGTTGCCAAGGTATCAAAGGGATCCTTCTCACAAGGATCCAGAAGTCCAGGACTACCTACAGGAATCACCATAGTGAGAAAAAAAAACATTAGCTTTTTGTAAAAGAAAGAAGAGTTCTTACTCAATTATCAAATACACAAACATTAAAAACGAAGTATAACTTACCTTTAAGAATAATCCCTGAAGAAATGCACTCAAAAACTCTTCTCAGTGCATCTCCAGGGCTCTGAGGACTAGAAGCACTACTGATTGCTTTCTCTACTAGTAACTCCATAGCCTGAAAATAAAAACATAAAAAATGTGCTTAACAGCTTACAGACCAAAGGAATTTACTGATCTGCAAACACCAGAATGACAAGCTACTTAATGCAAATTAAAAACTTTAAAGACTTAAAGTTATGTAGAAATGATAAAAACATAAAATAAAAATTATAATAATATAAAAACAATCAAAATAAGTAATGAAAACAAAACTCGTAAGGCAATATAGAATTTACATTAAAAAATCTTTATAATTCATTCTTAAGAAAAATGTAAAAGATTAATAGGTTTTTTGTTTATTATTTTAATTATTGTTATCCTTTCTTATTAAAATGATAGCCCTTAAAATTCTTTAGTTAATTTAATTTAGGGCTCACATACATTTGTTTTTTATACCTACAGAATGATGATACCAGGGAATTAAAGCAGGTCAATTTTCTAAGTGAAGATCTTTGTTTTTTCTTTACAATGTATATTATCTAAATTTTTATTTAATGCACAACTGAATTTCTATTATTCCTAAAGAAAATACAAATTATACTTTCACTGTAAATTACATTTGAGAAACTAAAAATCTAAACCGATGAATAAAAGACAGAAGGAAAAATTGATTTAGAAAGCAGCCTATCCAGGAAGTTCCTTGAAAGGTCTATTAGAAAATTTCCTTTTTATTTAGATTTTAAAAATTGATATAATTCCCAAAAGATTCATTCTTTCAACGTGTAGAATTCAGTGTTTGTGTGTGTGTGTGTTTTTAAGTATACTTACAAAGCTGTTCAATCACAATCACTATCCAATTCCAGAATACTCTCATCACTCTCAAAAGAAACTCCATACCCAACGGTAGTCATTCTCCAGTCTCCCTTTCCTACAAACCCCTGGCAACCACTAAACCACTTTCTATTTCTATAGATTTGTCTATTTTGGATATTTCATACAAATGAAACCATGTAAAATGTGCCTTGTGTCTGGCTTCCTTTACTTAGCATAATGTTTAAGGTTCACCAGTGTTGTAGCTTTTAACAATTCAAAGAAAAAAGATCAGTAATAACAATTTAAAGAAATCATGTACTGGAACTATGATGAAATCTTTAAAATGATAGAGGCTGAAAATACCTTAGTGAGAATCCATTTTTAGTTGCATCTTTAAAAGCTCATAGATTTAATCATAGGTAAAAAACTAAGTCAAGCTGTTCATTCCAAGGTCATCACTCTTATCTTTTAAACAAGAAATCTTGGATATGTAAAGGCTGCAGTTCCGCCCAAACAAATTAGTAATAAATTGTAAAAAAGAGAGAGGATTTTAAAGAAACAGTGAGCATTACAGCAGTAATAAATGATAGCTGGCAGCATGAGAGATTGAAATAAAATGGAAAATAATGATCATAATGATAAATGTAAATCACAACTAAAAAAATAAGGTGGTTCAGTTTATCCAGTTTAGAATTACAGATGTTCAAGACATTTTTTAAAGGATTTTCATTGAAAAGTTTTAGTATTTTAAGAAATTAGCTTCAGTTTTCCATTTAACTCTATGAATGTGTAATATCTTTCCTTTCCAAACAAATCAAATTATTTTACGATGGTCAACAGACTGAAATCCTGAAGGATAAGGTCAATGTCAAATATTCTGAACCCTTTTGCCTAGCGTAAGTGGTCAGCATATAGAAAATACTCAATAAATGTTTATGAAATGGAATACTCTTGGAAAGAATGTAAAAATAATCCTGCTGATAAAACAAATCAAAGGTAATAAGCAAATTACTCACTGATGTTGTGCTTAAAATACAAAACTGAAGAAGTCATAAAACATGCAACTTTCCATAAATATCTCAAACTTTTACTGAGTACTTTCAGGGATTGTTAAAGAGAAAAACAAATATTAAATAATCACCTATAATCTACATGCCAAGATAGAGAATGTGTCAAGTAATTCAAAACTTTTTCAAAATCTGCTAACTGCTTACTAAGTGTGATTTATACTTGCATATAAAGGTAGAAACTAATTAAAAACCAAGAAAAAATATTTATGGAAAACAAAGTCAATGTATTTAAACACACAATGAAACTAAGTCGACTATCTGACTTCTGAAATTATTTACTGTGAACAATTTAAAAATATTAATTTTCTACAAAATATGGTTATTCTCCATACAGTTGGGAAAGCAACAAAAGTAGAATACATGTGGTTTATGAATTCTGAAATGTATGCGTTCAAAAGTAAAAGGACAACATCAAAGATGAACAGAATCAAATTAGGGAAATGATATTTAGGCTGCAATGTAAAAGATCTTGGTGGCTAAAGTTATTTAAAGAGGATTTTTCCTTCTCATCTCTTATAGTATTAATAACGATAATGCATACTAAGTGGCAGGCATCATGGTAAGCACTTTAAATGCATGATTTCATTTAATTTTCATAACGAGATACTATTATACCACAATTTTAACCCATTTCCCATTTAGGAAAAACAAAGTGCAATTCTCTACCAGCATTAACATGACATGTGAGTGCGATGTTTTCTAGGATTTGACATTTTTGGTGATTGGGAATTACTCTATTTTGTGAATGGAAATACCACTACTACAAACAGAGTGATGTCATTTGTTTCCAAAGTTATTAATATGCTAGAGCAATGTGAAAATAATAATAAAAGTGAGATATTTTGTGGCAATCTTTGGGGGTAAGGTTAGGACTGTAATCTGCAAGTTATCTTGGGATAAATGCTGCGGCCGCCAGTGCTGCCAGCGAGTATTCTCAGGGTAAACAGGAAATGGGTTAAAGATTAAAAAAACAAAACAAAACAAAACTAAACTTAAGTAACTTGTCCAAGGTTACACAGCTAGAAGATGAAAAGATTGTTTAAAGGATTTGAACCCAAGTGTGTCTGATTCAAATCCTGTTTTTTTTTTTAAACTACAATTATATTTCAATAAATATTCTTTATCAATGATGATTCAGACAAATAACATTAATTAGGTTTCTTGGATATTAGTTTCTAGCTCTGTTACAGGTCAAAGGCCATAAAAAAAAAACCTATGAGAAGGTGGTTAACACAGGCACTTTCATTTGGTGGAAGTATAAACTGGCAAAACGTTTTTTAGCATACAACTGGCAAGTTCAAAGGCACCTACCAGCAATGTCGGTACTAAATTATACTTAAATAGAAGCACAAAAAATATTCAATGCAGCTGTTTATCTGTAACGAACTGGAAAAAAAACTGAAATATCTAACACTAGGAATTCTGGTTAAATAATAGCAGTATTAGCAGTTATCTTCTTCACTATTAAAACTAATAACTGAGTACTTCTTATATACTGTTCTGAATCTTTATATACATTCACCAATTTTAATCATCACAATCACTTTTTGGAGGCAGATACGACTATTCCCATTTTACAGATAAATATGTTTTTATTAAAATAAGATTTTATGAATACCACTACAGTAAGCAACTGTATACACAAAAGCCATTTCTATATTTCAGTTGACATAGGGTATTATTGATACATGCATGACAGACTTCCATTCCTAAATCCATTTACAGGATGTTATATTTTTGTATTATATTTATGCACAGCACCTTAATCTCATACTCAACAATTCTTAATAAAAACTGTCAAGCCTTGTGAAAAAAGTTTACTCACAAATACTGGTGATTTGAGAGTTCATGTGCATTTAAGTAGGTTTTATTAAGGGGTAATCAAGGGCTGAGTTATTATTTTTAAGCTAAAATGAATGAGGTGATACAGTCTAAGTATAATTTGCTGATTCTTTTGCAAGAAAACATAGTATTAGTTCTTTGCCCTGAGATGTCAGTGTTCTATCATTTAAAAATTCTTCATTGGTTCTAAAGGTAACAGACAAACTATCTTATTACAAGCCGCTACCACTAATATCTAAGTAACTTCCATCTATCTAAAATATTCTTGAAAATACAATGAAGTACGTGAAAAAATATTAAACCACATATCTCAACTGCTATTTGAGCAGAAAGTATAATTACGGCATTTTTCTCAGCCTCTTCTTTTGGAACTGTCCTATTATATCTGACAGACCATTCTTTTAAAAAAAATAAGTGAGGTAAAATTTTAAAAGCCCCTTACACATTAAGCAGTTTCGCCCCATTCCATCCTTCTACAAGCCTATGGCAACCACGAATCTGTAGTCTGTTTACGGATTCGTCTATTCTAAATATGTCATACAAGTGAAATCATATGTGTGACCTTTTGTGTCTGGCTTCATTTGCATGTTTTGGAGGTGCATCCATGTTGTGACAGGTCATTCTTTTTTGTAAAATATTCCTCACCCTAATATACATTGCTTAGAAAATATACAATAAACACTAAAAAGTTAACTATATATAGCCTTTTGTAAATTACAGCAGGCATATCATTCTAAAGATTGACATACTACACAGCAATCCTGATACCAGACCAACCTTACAATAGAACTCTACCTGTATTTTCATTTCATCAGCATGCATTCAGTACCAAAGAACTAATTTGAAGGCAGAGTTCCATTTGCAGTACTCATAGCAGTAGTAAAGAGCCTAAAAGCAGACATTGTTACTTAAAGATTTATTCAAATTAACTGAATGCTAAATAAAACGGAATACAGTTCATAAGAATTTCAAATTTCCTTTGTGAAAATCAAGAAGTTACTCTCTGCTTAAGGTGATAGTAAAAAGCCAAATCTCATGATCTCTTGTCCCCCAAACATGATTATGATTAAGAAATATGCTAAAACACACACTACTGCCACCCAATCAAAGCTATAACAGCTTCAACAAAACAGCCAGTGAAAGAACGCTTCCACGAACCTTGAGTGGCTTGGCCAACTCTCCATGTAGCTCTCAACTTGGCTTTCTAGAAAAAGATGGGGTTGGGGTTGGCAGCTGAATGAAAAAAATTCAAAAAATTTCACCAATAACCTTCCAACTCAGAGAGGTATTACACATCATGTTGCAGGTAGTCCCAAGAAAAGAAAGTTTCCTAAACGTTAAAACTCCTAAT